GCAGCCGTGTGAAAGCCATGGCAAAGTAAGAACTTGTGTTATATAAATAAAAACTGCTGAGTTGAATTATTTGGACTCCAGTGGCTTTTTGGAAGACCAACATGTAGCTCACTTTCCAGGGAAGTCAGAAGATCTCCTGCCTCCCTGGGGATGCTCTGGCAGGCTCAGATCTCCACACACAGTTGAACAGCAGCAGCAGCAGTCTGGCTGGATGTTGACAGGCTTAATTGATGCAGTATGATAGGTTTAAAAAAATGGTTCCAAATTGCTCTAGTAGCTAATAGCATATCCAATTAGTTGTTTACTATTTGGCATTGCTAAAGTCCACCCACGGCTCAGGGGACACACTGAAATTAAGGTGTGATGAGACAGCAACGCCGTGGTATGTGACTCTGACTTGGCAGTATGAGAAGGGCAGTGTTGGGATATCTCGGGTGATAACACACGGTGCACTCCTGATTACTACGGAGGGAAGCGTGGGCTGTGGATCAATGTTAGTTAATCTAAAATTTAGTGGTTCTAAAGTACAGAAACAAACGCATGTTCTCTCTGGTTATGCAGCACATCTGTGCCAGATGTGAGCATGATGGTGTGCTCATCATAACATGTCAAGACTTTGCTCTAAAGCTTTGTTATGAGCTGGGAAGGAAAAGCAATAAGAGCATAAGTGCTTGCATTTCAGAAGATGAATCTTCCCCTCCCACCTGCTATATTGTAGTACAGCATGTTCTTATCTGACTTGGCAAATCATTTTATGGTCCTTATTCAAATTTGTGCTCTTAATTTAATACAGGGCAATGACTATTTCTAGTTAATAAAAACAAGGAGAGCAGGTGCTCCTGGGAATATTGTTCTGCTTCAGAAAACAAATCTGAAGTCTGAGCCTCATTATCTGGAAGGTCGTTACCTGTTACAGAGGAGTCTTTGGAAGGGTGTTGCGTGTGAAGTAAGCCTGCGTGGCTCCCTGTGCGTGTGAAGGGCCGTGGTGAGGGGGAATTAAGTGATGGGTCACATTGGAGCAGACCTTTTAACTGGGTGAAGACTTCTCTTTGCAGTGGGGTTTGTATCTGCTGTGAGCTGCTGGGTATAAGGTTGAGGTGTTTGGTTAAACCTTCTTGCCCCTAAACTACTTCCTCTCTAGAGGTGTTACTGGCAGTGATGTTTTTTGTAACCCAGAATGAAATCTGTACAGCTGAAAAATGTTACAGGATTTCAGGGCTGGGTCTTCCTGTAAAATCCTAGTAAATGTTAGCTCTTCAGGATGTGTACGTGCGGGGGGAAGTTCTTGGTTTTTATTTGTTAAACTGGAACCGATACAACTAGAAGGATCTTCACAGAAACAGTTCCACTGCTGTAACCAGGAAGGGAAGAGCTGGTGCAGACTTGGGTTAGCTGTGATGTTAGCAGCTCATTTCCATTGCAGAGGTCGTCCTGGTGGCGTAGGGACTGACCCTCCCAGATCTCTCCGCAACACAAATCTGATCAAACCCATGCCCACAAACCGCTGCTGTGTGTTTTGCAATGCCACCTGGAAAACCCAGCTGAAATCCAGCCACTGTTCCTCCGAATTCTCTCGTGAGGCTCCTGTGTAGGTGACCCTGCCCCTGCTTGAGTGTAAGTACAGCTTCTGCTCGACGTGCCCGTGGTTATGTTCACTGTGGTGCTGAGATGGTCGTGAATCATGGGGAACGCTGGTCAGAGCTGTCACTGGTGGGTCTTTGGGTATTTTTTCTCCTTGCACAATCGTCCGCGTCAGGTTACAGACGCCTGCCTACCTGCGCAGGGGGGTGGCTGGCCCTCGGCTCCGCTGTTATTGTGGAATTGCAAAGACATCCTGTGGCTCACCGCTTCCTGGCCTGAAATAGGTTAAATCTTCTCATCAGCTTACTGATCTCTCACACGCAGGTAAGGTCACACACAGGCACCCAGCTTGAAAGTTTGCTGTACTCGGGCAGGGCCAACCAGAGGGGTCGGGGTGGGAAAATCCTGTTGTGAAAGTGAGGAGGCTGAGCTGGGGGTGCTTGCAAAGAGGAGTTCACCGATGTGCTCTGGGGGTAGAGAAGGAGAGCTGCCATCTCTTTGCCTTCCCTGTTATGTTATGAGGTTAAAAGGTCGTTGAATATCGAAGTCAAAGCTTTGCTTCCACTGTGCAATGAAAGGAAGGGGAAGAGCCCTTCTTTTGGAAGTTGGTGCTGCAGGATAACTCAACTTTCCCTTTCTTCTTTAGAGTATTAAAAAAAAGAAAAAGAGCTGTGCTGTGGCAGAGGTCAGGTCAGAGACTGCTGCATTCCTGCCTTGATTCCTGCCTTGCCTTCCCACGTGCAGGGGACCCAGCGTGGTCTCGGGGGCTCTGCTCTCCTCGCCCCTGCGCCAGCTGCCCTGGGCCCTTCTTGCTGAACTTCCCCCTGAACCCTGCCTGGCTCCCTCCCACCGGGGGATTTCCAGGATGTGGCTGTCTCAGCTCTTAACATTTGAAGGCGTCTTCAGAAGCAAGGAATCTGACCCAAGACTCCAGCCTGGGCCGTGGGAAAGGGGCTGCACCCTCGTGTGTGATGATGCTGCCCGTCCGGGGCAGGCGGTGTCGCACGGAAGCATTTAGAGCACCAGGGCAGAGGGGGAAAGCAATGCAGGAAGCAACCCCCAGCCCTGCAGCAACCAGCTGGGGAGGGTCTGGGTGCTGCAAGAGGGAAGGGAAGCGAGGCTGGGAGGCTGCTGGGTGCTGGGGGTGCTGCCTGTGCAGGTACCTGCCAGCGCTCACCCCTCCAGCTGCGCATTTTTCACTGCGCCTTGGGGTCTGAGCCCTGAACATCCCTGCACTCCTTAAGGCCAGGGTTTGCAAGTGAAAATATTCCCCTTGGGGAGTTGCATCAGGGCAGCAGGAGCACTTTCTCTCTCCTTTCTCCATCCCAGCTGCTCCTGGAGCAAACCGCCTGGAGCAGGGGGCAGAGCTCAGCCCCTGGCTGCAGCAGCGGCCAACAAGGAGCGAGAAGCAGCCCCGTGGAGCAGCCCCGTGCTTCCCCCCGGCTGCCTCCCCCGCTCCCCTGAAGGCCCACATTGCACAAGTGCTTTGGAGTAAATTCAGCATCTGGTTGAGCAATAGGTCAGGAGGATTTGCATGGCGCAGGGGCCCTGGGGAAAGGTTTCCCAGCTCCTGCTCAGCCGGCGAAGGCGCTGCGAGGGCTCCTGGGGAGGGAGCGCTGTGCGAGCGGGGCTGCTGCCAGCTGGTTTTGCTCCTGCCCCTGGCAGAGGCAGGGAGCTGCTCTCCGCGTGGGGCTGGCAGGGGATTTCCAGCACAGCCCCAATCGGTGGCGATGTGCCACGGGTTTGCCTGCTCTGCCTTCAGCCCCAAGGACGAGCTGGGGACCTGTGTGCTGGGAGCTCCTGCAGCTGGGGAAGCTGCCCTGGTGCAGAGACCCCAGGATGAGCAGGTTGGGAGCAGCCCGTGACCCAGCTGGGAAAGGACACATCTGTCCTGGGGCTTGCTGCTGACCACAGGGCTGTGGCCAAGCTGCTTTCCCCGTCTGTGCAGGGTTCCCCAGGGGCTTGCAGATTTCTCAAAATGCTCAGAGTGGCTGCAGGAACTGCAGGATGGTCAATAACATCTCTGGGCAGGTGGAGCTCTGATTTTGTACCTATTTGCAGTGGGTACTGGTAACCCAGGAGGTGAAACACTCGAGAAGGGGCAGTGCCGGAGAATTGACTGTTTCTCACTATTTTGTTGCTTTTCCAGCCCAGAAAGAGGATGAAGGAGAGGCAGTGTCTGCTGCACCCACATTTGCAGGTGCTGGACTTGGGAGCTGCATGAAGTGACCAAACGCGTGGTCTTTGCCCAGGGTCCTTCCTTCCAGTGGCTGCAGCTTTGATCCCCGTGGAGGCGGCTGCTTTGGGGCTGGCGTCATGCAGCAGCAGAGCCCCAGGCGTGGCTGGTTTGCAGGGCCCCACTGCTGCTGGTGTTTCTGAGAAGCGTGGGGCCATCCCACCTGAGGCAGGGTGCAGGAGCCAGGTCAGCGCAGGCTGAGTCAGGTTGCAGCAATGTGCATTGCATCAGGCCCCTGGGTGCAGGGCGCTGCATGGGCACGTCGGGAGGAGCGAGCCCTGCTCACTGCTGTCCCCAACACCCCGGGGGAGCAGGGGCTGTAGGGGGGTCGTGCAGTGGATCCTGGAGGCTTCCCAGAACCCTGGGACCAGTGCAGGATCAGGCTGGTGGCAGCCACCGCACAGCACTGTGTTAATTCATGAACAGCAGCAAACAAATCTGCCTGGTGCTGGCACCGAGAGCAGCATGGAAATACTCCCGAAAAAGCCTCGGTGCTGGAGGCCAGGTCTCGTGGCTGCAGGACGGAGACAAGCAGGGTCATACGCTCGCTGGCTGACCTTCAGAGGGGAGCCAAGGCAGAGCTCTGAGCTCGGGCCAGGTAAACTCCAGCCCACAGCAAGCAGCAGCTGGAGAGAAAACAGATCAAAGGTTTTTTTTTCTTTTTCTTTCTTTCTTTTTTTTTTTTTTTTTTTCTTTCCTGGCCCATCTCAGGGAATTGCATCCCCCCTTTATCTGGGTATTGTTGGGGGCTGGTAAATGCCAAGGGTGGCAGCTGGTGCTGTGCCTGTCGGGAAGGGCTGAGCCATGGGGCTGGAGACACGGCGCGAGCAGTGGGAACCTCCACGGAGGGAGTTTGCCCATCTCCTGGCAAGGAGCGGCTGGTTTGCATAGCCTTCTCAGCAGGCAGGATTATTTCTGTGGCAGGAAGCGCTGCTGCCACATGCTCCTTTGAGCACCACGAGCCCGGCTACGAATTTGCTCTGAGCACTTCCGTGAGTGAATCACGGTGGCGGCACACACGGGTCCCCTCCTGGCACCGGCACCACGTGTTGGAGCCGCGCTGTGCTTCAGGGGGGCACCTGGAGCAGGGACCCCCCCGCCAGTAGTGGGGCCATTGCTGCGGGGTGCTGGTGGGGGTGCTGAGAGCCGTCTTTGCCTGGTGGAGTCAAAAACAGGGACAAAGCAGGAGGCTGCTGCCTTTATTAGGGGTGGAAGAGAGGCTGGGGGGGAGCAGTGGGGATCCTCTCCCCTGTCTCAGGCTGAAGGGGTGGAGGTGGGTTGGCATCGGTGCAGCTCAGCAGTACTCAGGATTGAGCCCCGCAGTGCCCTGTCCCACCCCAATATCTCATCTCACCCCCAAGAAGCTCGTCCCACCCCTGGGCTGAGCCCCTCGGCCCCTCCCTGGGCGCTGGGTCCCTTCCAGCAGGGCCCCGGCTGGGTTGCAACACGCGTGGGGGACGCTGACGGAGCCGCTGGATTTGTCCAAGGAGGAAGTAAACGGGGCAGTGCTGGGCTTTTGCAATCCCTCTGTTGTTCCAGCATCTTCAGCGTGTGAAAGGCGCCGGTGGGGGCTTTTGGAGATCGGGCTCCTTGTTCCTGGAGGCTTCCAGTGAGTTGCAACAGATGAGGGAGACGCTCTGAGCTGGGCTCCCCGGGGAGCACCTACCCCGTCCGCAGTCACATTCAGCCATGGATGTGGGAACAGTGGGGACGTGCCCTGGGGCAGAGCAGGAGGCAGTGCCCGGCCTGGGGTGGTGCTCAGCACCCAATTTCCTTGCTGGTGCTGGCTGCGGTGGGTGCAGCAGGAGCCGCACGTGGCCAGGGCACCGTCCTGTCCCCAAAGCACCGTCCCGATGCTAGGGTGAGGAGCAGCCTCCTGGCATTTCCATGTTTTTGGGAAATGGGTGCAGTTCTGCTAAATGGGCAGGGCAGGGCTGGGCAGGGCCCGGCTGGCACCATGTGTTGTGGGGTGGAGGCTGATGCCATGGGTGCGTACAGGGACATGGGAACCCGAGGGGACGGCGCTGTCCTGGCTCTGCTGGGGTGTCTGGGCAGGGCCCCCAGTGCTGAGCAGACCCCGAAGGTATTCAGTCACGGACCCCTGGCCCCAAAAAGCTGCCTGGGAATAGGATGGGCCCTCAGGGCTGCTCCATCCCCTGCTGTCATTTAAGAGAGCACAGGAGTGAGCTGGTGCTGTGGGAACACCGAGCCAGGCTCCCAGTGGTGCCCAGCCACCAGTGCAGGGACTGGGAGCAGCACAGGGGTTACTGAGGGTGCCTCGGGGTGGCAGCCACGCTGTGGGGGCCTTGTTCTTCCCCAAAACACCATCTCCATGACCCGGAGTCCCCACTCATACCTGCTGGGCCCTCTCCCTCGCTCCCGCTGGCAGTTTGGCTCCTCCACATCTCCGGGCACCTCGGGGCTGTCCCCACGGTCCCATGGCAGCTCCTGCAGCTGGGACAGGGCACGAGTGGCTGGGGGTGCCCGGGGACCAGGGGACCCCCCCCCGGGGGACACTCACCCGCTGGCGTAGGCCTTGCTGCTCCCGCAGCAGCTCCAGGAACCGGCTGCTCCACAGCAGTTTCTCAGCCCCCAGCTCGGTGCAGAGGAAGCGGACATCGGCCTCCAGCGCCTCCAGCCTGCCCAGCGCGGCCTCGCTGGCCTCACGCAGCCGCTGCAGCTCCACCGCTGCCCTGGCACCACAGCTCTGCTCCACCAGGGCCCACCCTGTCCCATCCAGCACCAGGGACCCTCCTGCCCACCCCAGACATTTCCCCATTACCCACCTGTGCCCTCAGGTTCCAGCGCAGCTTTAGAGGCCCTGTCTTCCTCCTCATCATCCTCCTCGCTCCTCTCGCTGCTGTTTTGCAGCCTCAGCAGCAGCACCGAGCCGAGCTGAAAGCCCCCAGGGACAGCAGCGAGTGACACAGCCGTGGGCAGCTGAGCCCCACAGCCTTCAGCACTGACCCTGAGTGGGGAACCCCATCGTGCCATGCCCCCCCAGGGACCTACAGCCCCTCTGCCACCACCGGAGCAGCCGCCTGACAGACCGTGGCACCAGAAGGCTGAGGTCTCACCGTGGCACCTGCAGGATTTACCTCCTCTGTGAACTGGAAGGCAAAGTCCCAGCAGCTCTTGTAGCAGATCAGCAGGTACTGGAGGGAGAGGACAGTGGGTTCAAACCCACCTTGGGCAGGGCAGATCCTGGAGCAGGGAGCAAAGGCCTCACATCCCCAGGGCTCTAAACCATATGGCGCTGAGAACCAGCACCTCCTGCCTCAAGGATGAGGGTATGGTCCTACAGCGATGCTGCTGGATGGGGCAGAGACCCCCAGCAGCACCAAAAACACAGTCCCACAACCCAAATGGGTGCTTTAATCCCACAGGATGGGCCCTGTGCCCTGGTCCCACAGTAGCCCCCATGGTACTGACCCACGCCAGCCTCCAGAGCCACCGCAACCCCTCTAGAGCTGTCCTGGAGAGCGACAGGAGCCACCAGCACCCAGTACCCAGGAGCTGCCTCCACCACAGCACCGGCGGGCTGCGCCGCTTCCCCATGGGGACCCTGTGGATGTGGAGAGGGAGAGGGGACGTGCTGCAGCCCCAGGAGCTGCTGCCTCGCTCACCTGCCATGCACCACGCACCCATGGGACAGGTGGTGGCAGTGCTGTATGTTGGCACCAGGCTCTATTTGCCCAGTGCCAGGCTCACAAAAAGAAGGGTGAGCACCTGGGGGGCCTGCTCCCCCCGGCTCTGCCCACTTACCCGACAAAGCAGCCCAACCCAGCACGGTGCTGCAGGCAGGAGGCTGCCAGGAGAGCTCAGCTGCGACCTGCAAGCAAGCTGAGCATGGCCATGGGGGCTGCTGCTCCTCCTGCCTGGTTGTAGCCTCTCGGCTGCTTGCTTGGGATCGATAAATGCCTGCCTAATCCTCTTGGTGACAAGGCTGCGCAGGGGATTAGCGTTTCTCCTGCTCTACCTTCAGTTGCCATAAGGACAGCTGCTGCTCGGCCACCCTGCACTTACTCTGTTCAGGATTCATCTTCAGCAAGCAAAGGACTTGAGACTTCGTTTAACTATTTTCAGCTTTCATTAGCATTCAGGTAAGAGCCTGTGCAGCTCTCTGACTCCAACTTCAAGGCAAGTCACTGGCTATCCTGGGAATCTTTAGTCCCCCAGGCTGGTTAAGAAGAAAAATAGAAGGCTTCAGAAAATAAAATAGAAGGTTTAGGCACAACTGCCAGAGTCAGACTTCAGGCTCTGCCTCCCACCTCTTTGTGGGTGACAGCACTCATGTCCCCAGTGATTAGAGGCCCTGTTACATTGGCACCGCAGCTGCAGAGCTGTCACAAGCAGTTCTTGCTCCGGGACAAGCAAATCTGCTCCCTCTGCTGGAGTAGACCCAGTGGACACTGCAGCCTTTTGATCTCAGATTTTGTGGCAGCCAAAGAGCTGCTGCCCATCAGCAGGACATGGGAGGGACGAGCTGCCTATCAGCAGATCTGGGTTCCTTTAACTACAAACAAAGCATTTCTCATGTAGCCTTTTAGCCCTGCCAGCTGCCCAGGGCTGCTAGCATTACAGCCTGTCCTAATGAGCAGTGGCTGTCCCCTTGTCCCCTTCCTTTAGGGACAAGCACTGCTGGGGGGCTGCAGAGGCTGCATTTTCACCTCATCCCTGCAGCACCGATACGTACCCCAGGGAAAGCAGAGCTGATTGACATTCTGCTGTATAAAGTGCTCGTACATCCAGGTCTCCAAGCTACGTGAGCCCTTTTGCTGTTTCTCTGCAGGGAAATGGTCTGGACAAAAACAGCTTGCCTTGAGGTCAAAGAGGTGGAGCAAGGAACCTCTTGAGTTCAGGCCCTCTTATAAGCCTCGCCTTGGAACAGCAGTATCAGTGTGAGAAAAGCATTTTTTGTACCAAGGCCAAGGAGTCAGAAACCATCAGATAAGTCGTCTTTTTCCTGTAACTATAGAAAAGCAAGGCCTTTTAGGAGTTTCATCTTTCATCCCACTGTATATAACCTCTTAAGAGGAACAACTTAAAATACAAAAAAGTAGGACAACTTTGCTGCTCTCCCATTAAGCCATTACATCCCAACTTCCCGACAGATCAGCAGCCGTCAGCCTGACAGGCGTGCCAGCCACTTGCTCTGCTGTGGGATACGGCAGCTCCCACCATGAACAAGGACAGAGCTCCCTCAACCACTGAACCAGAAAACAAACCAGGGAGAACTTTGCTCCTCTGCATTTACCTTCACCCTTGGGTGCTGCACTGACGGGGTGGTTGCGTGTAGGAGTTAAAGCTCTTGCTACTAACAGCAAGGAGCTGCAGGACACAAGACACCAGGAAAGCTGAGAGATAACAGAGCAAAATTAACACCCAGCTGTAACGAGTGCACAGGGGACTGGAAAGCAAGTGCCCCAACTTTGTGCACAGTGCTTTCTCCATTGGCAATGTTTAAGCAAACAAAGGCATTACAGCACAGGTAACTGGTAATATATCATCTTGAGAAAGCACAGCCTACTTCAACAACAACACTTGTATCTTGACTTGGCTGCTGTGAAAAGCACCAACCATTCATCCTGCCGTGTATTTTTTCAGTGGCAATTAAAACTGCTCATCCCTTATCTGTGGGCATTCTTCCAATAGCAGCAAGAACTGACTTACATCCAAGTCCTACCTTAAAGCAGGATTAGTTGAACACAGTCAGAGATTAGCGCCTGGCAATCCTTTCAAGTATTCAATGTTACGTCTACCGCAGGAAAGAAAGCACAAGGGATACCTCCAGAGAGTCATGAGACAAGGAACGGCTACTATGTGAAAATGGAAGAACTCCAGCAAAGTCCTCACAATCAGATGGAGAATAAGAAGCACTAGGAGTCAAAATTTGGACTGAACAAAACATGAGAAGAGAGACAAATGTATTTTTATTGTTTATGTACAAATGACAGAAGTTTGTATTAAAAAGAGAATCCACCCAACCTCAAAGATAGCAAAGAGCAAGTTGGCTTTGAGCTCCTGCCTTCCCTGCATCTAAAAGCAGCGTGTAAACTTTAGGGGGTGTGTAAAGTTTAGGGGATGGTGTTCAAAATAAAAGTTAGAGAAAATGGTTAGCCACCTTGTTCTCTGCTTGCGTAAGAATCAAACTGAGATGTTGCACAAAATGAATTACCTTCCTCTCTACATGGATTAAAACAAACAAACCAAAAGCCAATTTATTAACTATACACTTTGGTTGAAAACAAAACAAAAACAACCAAAAAATTCCCCATCTACAAGCAAAACAAAACAAAACATAAACAACAACAACAAAAAAAAAACCATGAAGTTAAGTATCAGTAACAAAAGTAGTATAAGTCTTACAACATGGATGGGACAAACTGAATCATACCCCAATTCCAGCAGAAAAGAAAATGCCTCTCCATGGTTTTACGGATGACAGGGGGGGCAGCAGCAAGATCAGCCAATTGTAGGAAGTTCCCAACTGAGCTGGAAGCACAGAATAGTCAGGAATTCAAGACTACTACTACTACACCTTTGTCTTCCTGTAAGTCAGGTGATTTAAAAATGATGCAAAGTACATGGTCCAAGACTTTCTCCCCCAATCTGAGTTCTTTAGAGTGAACCACTCCCTTCTGCATACACTTGGCCAGAGAGCTGCCATCGTGCTCATTCAGTCGACTGGCATTTTTCTTGGTGGGGATTCATGTAGACCTAAATCCCAGAAGCTTCATCACTGATGAGTCTAGTAGTCCTGCAGAGAAAGGAAAAGACAGGCACATTCAGACCTTTCTACTTCCACCTCTGCTTGCAGAGCTGGGATTCTTAGTTTCCTCTCATTTCTACATACCATTAGCTGAAGGCAAAACAGAAAAGAGATTTATTTTTTCTTGTAGCTGAACATTTAAAAGAGAGAACCCTTCAAAACCTTAGTTCAAGAACGCATCAACCAAAACCAGGTGCTTTTAATGCTGCACTTCATGACAAGACAGAAGGACGCAAACCAGCTGTTTTCACAAGAGGTGCATGTGACTTAATTGTGACCTAGCTTCATAACAAGCCTGCCTGCCCTTATTTACCGTTAAATCCACGAGACAACGATTACTTCATAATAAGAAAAACAACATCCTAAATTACAGCAGAAGGAGGCTTTTTATGATTAGGGATCAGTCAGCCACTCAAGTCTATGGATGAGCAATGAAAACAATGACAGAGCACTGATACTTACGGCTCTTGGCTTTTTGTTTAACTTGAGATCAATCCTGTGGTTGGAAAGATAAGAGAAATGTCCATTTCAATACATTAAACAAACACTAGAGTTCAAAGAACCAGCTACTGCATATGGCACAGGCTACAACAAAGACTATTTGGTTAATTCAATCCACATTCTCAATTCGGCTGAGCCAAATCACTGTCCCAATATTACTGGACAAAGAGCAGCAAAGAGAGGGAGAGTGGATTCTTTATTCTTTGCCAAAATGCATATTCCGTTCCATTCAAAAAAAGAGTTAATAAAAGGTTCATAATAAAAAGTTAACAGGGAAGTTAACGCAGCATAAAGAAATAAGGTTAAATACGCATGCTCTATGTTAATTTGTTAGATGTGTAACTATGCCACAGGTAATTATTCAGACATAGTGGTAATGGTTATTTACTTTGAATAGAGATAGGAGTTTAAGATGACAGGAATTTCAGGAGTCAAAGGTACTGAGTTTATTACATTTTCCAGAAAGAAATATCCAAGTCTACACTAAACTCCTTAAGAAGCAAAGCCAGAAGAATCAGTTTTTAAACTAAGTTTTAAAGTTAAAAAGTTTATCTATTTAAAAATGAAACAGAGAGGTAAAGAAGAGTGAAGTTAATTTAATTTTGCTGAAGTTATTAAATAAAATGTTACCTCCATCACGCTTTTCTGTTTTTAAAAAAAACTTCCCAGCCTAACCTAATATACATACCTACAATTAAACAGATAAACTATGGGTTAGAAAGGTCTCAAAAGGCACATTGGTGTCTACACACTAACAACACAGCACAAGTACTAATTCAAGTCAAACTTACTCAAAGTCATAATCAAACATGCCAGACGGGCTGAGGGGCAGCATTTGAAAGGAAGAAAGCAATAGAAATTAATATACTAATGAATTAAATAAATTAGTTGATTAGCCACCCTAGCGAGATTACTAAAAAAAAAAATAAAGAAAAAAATAAAGCCAGTGTTCAAATGCCATAAAGTTCTTAAGATATCTTAAACAGAATTGGGCACAAAAAGCACTCCAGATTTGACAATCCAGAGTCCCCCTCCCCAATTGGATTTCTGGGAAAAAAGAGGTGTTAAAACAGAGGCAGAGTAGTTTTATGGAGGGAATATTATGTGCTGAAAAAGGAAACTATCAGATACTTAAGAGTGCGCGCTAGCTCACAGGCAAAGAAAAAAAAACTGGTTTGCTTGCAAAAACAAATAAATGGGTGGTCAGAAAGCAGTGGCTTTGTCTAGATTACTAAGCAAAGCAAAGCTTGTTCAGGCAGAGAGGTGGCGACAACCATAAACTTATGTGTCCAACTATGCATTCAAATGTTCTCAAAATGCACACACATCCACACATCCTCTTACACTCATTTCCTTTAGAGAGCTAAAAAGATAACACGGTGAATTGGCCGAATCTAATTACAGTTTGGTTACATTCCCACCCCACGTCTCAGCATTCACCCTGACACCACAACACAACTCTAAAAGCAGTTCTGTCCCAGAGCTAACAGCTGTATTGGTCAGAGAGGACTCATCATCAACTCATCTGTAACTTAGAAGCTTCTCAGCATCAAATTTCTACAAGGTTGCAGTATTGTTTACTCCTGAAACACTGTGTAGCCAGGAAAATTGCTCACCACAGAAAATAATCATCTTGGCCTTTTGTGGTCTGAGGGAAGAGAGGACAGCTTTAACAGAAACACTTCCATCTGATTCCCTCTTTAACTGTTAGAAATTTAACCGTCTGTTCATGGGAGTTCTGCCCAGTCTGAATCCAACTTTCCCCACTGCTCTTGATGGCAATTAAATTAGGAAAACCTAAGCTATGCAAGTGGAGTTGGTACACCTCCAGGGTGTCTGTTCCCAGCACTGTCTAATTCTTCAGGAACAGGTGAGCAGAACTCGGATGTATGCTGGTAAATGAAAGAGCTTCTGAACAAGACCTGCCATAAAAAGGTTGGGACTGGTTTTTGTTTTGTTAAAACCTAGATATACTTGAAAATTGCTTCGTCTCTTCTGCTGGAATTTAGGGGATAGTCATTAACAGCAATCACAATTTTAACAGAGTTTGTGCTACAGACAAATCGAATTATCTTCATCATCTGTCCATGCTAAGCATTACAGAATAGTCAACTACTAATTGCAAAAACCTTTCTGTAATTTAGATGTGACTCATGTATCTCTTAGGATGATAAGAAGTGCCATACCAGATCAGACCAGGGCTCCTCATGTCCAATATTCTGTCTCCGACAGTAGCCAGTACGAGCTGCTTCAGTGGAAGGAATGCAGAAGAAACCCCAAAGCAACACAACCTTTCAGTAGGGCAGTTTCTTCCTAACTCTTGGCACTAAAGTTTGGGTTATGTAACGGAGCAAAAGAATTTATATTATTTACGGCATTTGTACTGGACCCCACTGTATCCGCAGTGGATTGGTTTGTTGTCCATGTAAGTGGTTAGCAGAATATAATCATAAAAATTTGTTTGAAATAGCAATTTTCTTATGCTGTACTTCAGTTCTACACGTTGTTTCTCTGAACTGGTTTATAAATGTAGCTTCTTGTGTTACTGCTGACCTTCTTTCCAATTATCTACAGGCAAATAAAGACCTCTGAACTGCTTTTGATTCCTAGCTCATAAGGAACCAAAGAGGACTTCCAATACTTGAAGATGTTTGCCTGATTAAGACTGCTGTAGGAGGAGAATCCTGATCTAAGAATTAAAGGTATGCTAATAAGGAAAAAGTAGTTAAATGGAATTCGAGCACTATACCTACCTCCATATCTCCCAGATATTTCCCCAGCAATCCTTGGGAATCTTTACCACTTTTCTTTAAAACACTTCTCTTGCAATTCTGTGGGAAGGTCCCTCAAAGAGGGAAATCCATCCATACACAATGCGAGCAAGCTCAAGGGTAGCAACACTTAATTTTTTTTAAAACTCTTTTACTTAATTATTAAAAGCTTCTTTGCTTCTAATAATCTTTAGGTATGAGTTCCAGCAATCATTTCCAGAGAAGTGTAGCTCTGCAGTTACATCTCTGTCTCTTCTTTCCAAAAACATGGATTTCCACAGACCTCCCCCCTCCAAGGGCACAGCACTACCGTGCTCCAGAGAAATTCTAGGGCTGTACCAAAGGGGTTCTGAGGCACGATAAGAGTCAGGGTATGTTGGCCCTGGGAGAGCAGCACTATAAAGCAGTTAGATTATTTCTGATTTCTGAGCCATCAGCCTACGCTGCATCATGCCTTACAGGGCAGAACCGGTCATCTAAATTCAACCATAAAGACTTCAGGAAATGTGTTTCGCATGAATTTCAGGCCAGTTTAATAACACTCTGAGGTTTAAAAAGGTTGAGTAAGCAACTCGTACATGTCATAAGCAAAAACCCTCAGCATGGGACACGGCAACAGGAAAGGTTTGGAGTGGAAATTGTAGCAAGGATACTGAGATTGTCCACAATCCCCAAAACATTTTTTTTCATATTCCTCCCAAGAAAGCACATGACATTCCTATCTTCCTTGGATCTAGAGAAATCAAGCACAGGAAGCCAGGAATGTAATCTTCCTCTACTGGAGGGAAAACACGTTTATTCTCCTTGACAGAGAAAAGAATTGGTGAGGCCTTGTCAAAGGCAGAGCTGTACCAGAGCTGCAATTAGTACCCTGTGCTGACTGCTCGTGTAGCTACCTCAGCATTTTCTCCTCCTTGACACAATGGGTGCAATGGGATCCTGATGAACACTACGTGGTGCACACAACTTAAAAACAAGAGGAATTACCAAAACAAATGACCCGAGCTGTTCATTACTCTAACAAGTTACTAGTTCTTTTCACATATTAAAGTCTATTCAACAACAGCTAACCATTCACAAGGCATTCCTAGAAGGCTGCTGGTATCACTAACCTGTGTCGATTTTTGTTCTTCCGTTTTTTGTGGCTGCTATGGTGGCTCCCAGAAGTGGAGGAAGCAGCTTTCTGGGGTTTCACCCCCTGCACGGATCCATCCAGCTCTTCAGCATCTTCCTGGTTGGGCTCATTCTCCTGATTGTGAAAGTCTGGAGAAGTGTCACTCTCTGTCCCACTGCCTGGCTCCCCTAGAGTGGGACAAACACAAAAGAGCCCAGTGGTTACCTCCCCACAGCTCACATCCCAGGCAGCTCCTGTGCATGCCCAGAACAGATGTCAAACATCCAGCAATAATACACAAGGCAGCAGAAGTATACTGAGCCTTAGGCCACAAGATAAATAAAAGAACCTGAAAAAACATTCTGAAGTACAACAAGCGACCTCGCCAGTGACTGAAGCATGCTAAAATTGCATCTGATTTGCTATTAATTACATAAATATATATTAAAAAAAAAATCACACAAGTGAACATAAGTAGCAAATATCCTCAAAACAAATAGGGGAAGAAGTATGACAATTAAAATTTCTAGTACCAAGCACTGGAAATGCAGCACTGCTTCTTTATCAGCACATAACACGTAAGTTACAGTGGCAGCAAGACTACCTCAGGAGGGAAGGCCTAAACACTGAGAGCTCACAAGTAGTTTCTGAAAGTAATTTCTCTCAGCTCCTCCTATAATCACTTGCAAGTGCCCGAAAGACACACAAACAGAAATGGATTGCTTCATTCCTTCTAGCCTTTTTCTCCAAAGAGCACCAAATCCATATAAATATATTTTATGCACAGCAAACCCTTACCAAACATACAAGTTTGCTCAGGAAATCGAGCTCAACTTTACTCCTGTTTCTCACAGTGTCTCTGTTGAATTTACTTGAATTTGAGCACTCAGGAGCTGGCCTGGGCGGACCAGCCACAGACCTCTGAAGGGAAGAGCTCCAGGGGGGCAGTGAGTGGGGCAGGGATCCAGAGAACTGAAGGCAGAGCTCAGTTGTGGGGAGAAGCTTAGCTCTTTCCAATTCTGCCAGTTCAGAGAGAAATGAAGAGGTGACTTACGCTTCTCAATGAGCTGGTCTTGAACTCCAGCTAATGCACTGACCGCCTAGAAAATTGAAAGGGACGTTAATGACAGCAGTAACTCACTCTCCACTTTTCAAACACTCAAGAACCGCGGCAAATTGCCTTACAGAGAAAGAGGCATCAGGCCTTTGCTTTACAGAACCTGCAACCAAGCACCAGCGCGGCACAGCAGAAACAATTAGGAGCAAAAAGAAGATGAGAATGGCAACAACAAGTGCACAGCATGGGTGGTTGTCAGCTGTGGTTACCTTTTACTTCTCCAGGAGCTAGGAAAAGGGTTTCTGAAAAAGACTGCGAGGTGGGGATGAAGATGCTCGGGATGGGGAGGCAGAGGAGATTATACAGCAGGGTGGTCCCACAGCAGTGACCACCACAGGACCCGCCATGACCAACACTCACCGCCGCCGAGGTGACCGAGGACTTGCTGAAGAGCCTCTCAGCCTCCTTGAACTTGCGGTTCCTCCGGTCGTTTTTGCTGTTGGAATTCCTACAAAAAGAGAAAACCAAACTTCGTGAAGGGGGGGGGAGAGCCCGGCGGGGCGGGACAGGGACAAGACAGGGACCGGTGCGGGACTCACTTCTGGTTGGTGAGGTAGCGGTCCCAGCCGCGGATGATGTTGCCGTACATCTGCGTGTCCTCCAGGTAGCTGCCCTCGAAGGCGTAGATCTGCCGCTCCAGATTTGCCAGCGTCTCCTGCCGGGCACAGCGCGGGGCATGGAGCAGGCCCCGGCTTCCCCCCACCCCCCCCACCGCGGCCTAGGCCCCGCCGCCCGCCTCCAGCCCCGCGGCCTAGGCCCGGCCCGGTGTCCCCCGGTCCCCCCCTCTCGATTCCCGGTCGCCGGGACCCGTCCCTGCTGCCTCACCGCCAGCTCCTGCTTGCGTTTCACCAGCTCGGCGAGCTCCCGCCGGGTGTCGGGGATCTGCGGGGGGCCGCCGGCCTTGGCGTGCAGCGCGGCCATGGCGGCCTGCGGCGGGCGGGCGGTGGCGGGGACGGAGCCTGCGGTGCCCGCTTGGTGCCGCCGGGGGCAGCGCTGAGCCCGGCCGAGGCCACCGCGGATCCGCCCCGGTTCCAACTCCCGGCCCCCAGCCCCCGGTCCGCCTCCGGGGCCGGCTTCGGTCCCGGCCCCGCTGGTTCCGAAGGGGAAAATAAAGCGAGGACCGGGAACCCCCCCACACCCGGTGTGGCCCCGCCGCGGTGTCGGTCCCTGCCCCGCACCGCGGGTAGTGTTTGGGGTTTTCGTTTACGTAATGTTTGGGTTTTAGTTTAGGCAATGATCGGGTTTTCGTTTAAAAGAGGCTTCGTGGAGGGTTTGCTGCACGCAAATGTGCGGGAAGGGGGCCGGTGCTGCTGGGATGGGGCAGGGACAGGCAGGTGACAGCCCTTGACTGAGGGGTTTTCCCCTTTACTGAGGGAAAAATGATAATCACAAAGTACAGACGCCTGCACAGAGCAGCTTGAACGGCCTTTTGGGGAGTTCTTAAAGGTTTGGTGCCACTCAGTGGAAATGTACAATGCTCGACCCGATTCTTTGGAAGGAAATTTTACACTGAAAATAAAGCAATAAAATATGAGACCCGGCATTCAAATGCTGCACCATTTGTAAAAGAGGGTTATTTTTGTGTTCATTGCCACTTGGTACGATGCAGCTCCTTGAATCCCATCATAAGCAGCCTGTTTTCCCCAGAATAAGGCCAATTAATAAAAACAGTACAGCAAAAATCAAGAACATGGATGTGCTACTATAACATATTCAGGTTTGTAAAGATTAATTTGCAAAATAGATGCAGTAAATTGTAGAGTATTTGGGGTTTTCACTTGTCTCTTTGTTTCCAGCCCAATGACCAAACAGGACTCGAGCCTGAAACCAGCTGAGGCCATTTCCTAGCAAGGTGTAAAAGGATCACAAGTGGCAACCCCATAGGGTCATGTAAAAAAAAATGAACCAATCCGAAAAAGTAAAAAAAAAAAATCATTTAGGCAAGACAGTATCATTTCTCTCCTGTCTCAGCTGTAAGGATTCCATCTTTGTGACTTCCTTTTGTGAAGAAATAACCCCAAGTCCGTCATCTGAACATCTTCTAGAAGTAGTTGAGGATACTTTGTACCAAACGCTTTTTTAGTTGGGTTCAAGCTTCTACTAAACTACATTAGTTTATTTAAATGCTCTGAAATAAGCGTGACTTGATGGGCTGGTTTGCCCTTTCGTGCTACTGATATCCCTGGCTTAAACCACAGCTGTTTCCTAGCATGAGCCTGTCTGCATCCAAGGGCAAGCAGCCCGGACACGGCACTAAGCTACCTGCTGCACACTCAGCTCAGAAAGGTCTGTGCAAAGAAAAGCGCTACCAACCCTTACCGTCCTCCAGCCTCACAGCATCTGAAGCGCACAAATCATGCAAACTTTTCTTTTTAAAACTTCATGTTCTTAAAATGGAAATGAATGCTTTGATAGCATGGTACAAAAGACACACAGGTACCAGACCGCAATTGCTGTGGGTGCTGCAGGGTCAGATCAGAGGTGTAGGGGAAGTGGCAGTTGTTGGTAGTGTGCCCATGGTGTGTGCAGTCTGACAGAGCAAACACACACACTGTGGTTCTTCAGGGTATTGACACCTTGGTTCTTCAGTGTATTGACACAGGACCCATAACCGAGGCAGCTGCAGCCTTACCAGTCCTGAGGTAACATGGCACCATCTATTCAGTCCTGCTTTTACTTAAATATAATGCTTAAATTTAAAATAAAATAAAATAAAATAAATGCATGAGTGACAGTGGAATGATATTTGTTAATTCTACACTTTACAGCTGCTGAACCACTTTGTTGAACGTCACAGCTGCGATGATTTATACCTTCAGCATCTCTCTCAGCTTTCCAGGCTTGTCCAAAAATATAATGCACCTATTTCAAGGAATATAAAGAAGAGGGACACTAGAAAAATCTTATAACTAAAAGGAATTAGGGCTAAATTTACAAATTCTTTATTTAAAAACCCCTGGAGTATATATAAAGGAGATCCTCCTAGTCAAAACTCATTCTGTCTACTGCTTGAAAACCTACACCAATGCCCCATATTTACACCATCAATGTTCTAGCCTGTGTATACAGTGTGCAGCCCCTGCATACACCAAGTATATACACAGCACGTAGGGATAGCATGTGTGACCACAGAACAAACATCCAGGCAAATTAGTAAAACAGTGTGAAAACATTACATTTCTTACATCGTAAAGCAAACCATGGGAAGTAGACATCCAAAAATATGCAAGATGCAAGTACTTGCAGTAAGTAGAATCGGTTCTTCTCTTCCTAAAGTATTGTTTTCATTTACAGGGGGGAAGAAGAATATTTTAAACAAATGGCGGTTTAACTTTTTATATAAAAAAAACTTAAATAGTGCAAACTGGTTGAAACGTGCCACCATGTGACAGGTACTCTATGTAATACAAACTAAACCAAGAAGTTACTCACAGGGCAGTGGTGCTGTCGGAGATAAAGGCCCTACCTTTAGAACTAGATATTCAACACCCAGTAACGGTTTCAGCATCCTTTGCTGCAACACATGCTGGGCATGCACTGACTTGTGCCTCAGCCCTCCCAAATCAAGTTATTGTAACCTAAAATTTTAGGAAGCGCTTCCTTTAGTTTCCATTTACCTGATAATTTCCAGGTAGTAGTCTGGTAAAATGCCCACGGCTGAAGGTTATCATAATGCAGTCTAACTACCCGAAACATACAGATACAAGGGGAGCTTTGCAACACTTCTGCCTTTTTAGTAGGAAGGCTGGTAAATTGTCCTGTCTAGAACTAACCTGGCAAGAAATTTGGCAAACTCTACCAAACGAGACATGTTACAAAGGGTATTGGGTCACCTTCTAACTAAGATCTTAGTTAAGTAGCATTGTCAAAGGGTTATGACGAAACAGGTAATAAAAATAGTTTTAAATACGCTGTGTTTGACATCATTTTCTAAAAGAGGAGAGTCTTTCAGCATTCGCTGAGTATTTCCAGCATCACAACATTCACATCCAGGTGCTCTTTTTGCTTGTCAGGGGGAAAAAAAAGAAAAAGGAAATACAAAGCTGGATTTCCTGATATGCAGAACTATCAAAGATGAATAATCAGTGAAGTCCCCCAAAATAAAGCATGACAACTGATCAGCAACAGAAGGACTTTAAGGCAATAAGAGGCATCAGTGCTTTGATGCTCCCATGTTTACATCCCAATGTATGATCTCTTGAAAGTTTCTCTCCCCTGCTCCCGCCCCCCAGTTTCCTCCTCATCTGTTAACTGTCAGACTCTTCCTCCTTCTCCTCCTCCTCATCATCGTCCTTTGTGTTGGCCTCAGATTTGTCTGAAGATTCGTGGAGGAGAACGTACTCCCTGCTGCTGAACCCGAACTTCAGCACATCCTTTTCTTTCAGTTCATAGTAACGCTGAGGTTCGATCCGCTGGTTGTTGAGGAACGTGCCGTTGCCAGAGCCGAGGTCGATGATGTACGGCCTGACCCTCCGGCCGATCGTTCCGTCAGCACGAGTGTACTCCACAAGCCTGGCGAGACAAAAAACACCATTTCTATCAAAGCAGAGAAACAGAAAATCCCCTACTCCACACGCAGATGGATTTTGGAGCACATCAGCCCCAGTGCAGTTCAGCATCAACTGTATTTCAGAGATCTGAGCAAGTAAAATGTGAGAAATGAGAGATGGGATGAGAACTGGAAAATCCCTGAAACATTCCGACAGGCATCACCTCCCGTAACTCACTGTGATCTAACGCAGTAATTCCTAACACACAACAGATGGCTCTTCCTTAAGAGAGCAACTCTGTCTTCTGAAGCACGCAACCCCTGCTGCTTCAAAAGGAGCTCAGCAGTCTTTGTTGTGAAAACCCAAACACAAACCTCTCCTTGAAACGCTTTTACTGCCAATTACACCTGCTACTTATTCCAGCTTGGATGTATGCGCAGTTCTGTGCTTAACCCTGCTGGGTTATTTGTCTTAGTAAAAGGCTGCTTGTGGTTAAATGAGAGGAATCGCAAATATTTTGATTACTGCTAGGATGACATGCAGCAGTCATAAAATAAAAGAAACAATTTACAATAAACACACACTTATAAACCATGCGTAACTACTTTTTTTTTCCCCCATTTATTTTATTTTTCACAAATTACTAAATAACCCCGTTCCACCAGCAGGCAGGCAGAGGAATACTCACCGGTACTGGAACACAGCGTGCTGCTTTGAGCAGGAGGGGTGGTCGATGGGGATATCTGCAATCCTGCGGTGCCTGCCCAGCAGGTAAGCGCTCTGCCTGTGGATGTACATGACCGGGAGGAACTCGTCATTTTTAAAAGGGTAGAGGCGCCACCGCTTCTTTGGGATCCGAGCCTCGGGGGGCTCGCTGTACTTGATCACAACCCCTCGGAAGGTGTTGGTGTCCTCCAGAAGGGCCCCAGACAGTTCAAAGCTCGGTTTTTCTTTCTTTACAGCAGCTTTGTCTTTTGGTTTGTTATCAGACTGCCCGAGTTCTGGATTCTGGTCAACGCTGCTCCCTTCGTTGTTTTGCCGGTGCTCTCGCCTTCTCTCGTTATAAAACTCTCTCTCTGCTTGCTGCTCACGTATGTTCTGAGCATCCCTCTCTCGCTCGTGGCCTCGACCTCCAGGCCTTTCACTGGGATTTTTCCTTCTGTCTGCGTGATCTCTGTGCCTATCTCTGTCACCACTTCTGTCTCGCCTGTGCTCCTGCTCTGATGGGTATTTCTGCTTTCGCTCCTCATTTCCTCTACGAGGATGTTCATCTCGCTCCTGTAGGGAAGAATTACTTAGGGTGAGGTATTAGAATTAGATCAAAGACGCAGCAAATCTACTTTGGCAAAAGTGACCAAGGCTGGGCTCACAAGCAGGCAGGAACACTGAACTACTTACAGCAACACTCGAAGCGCGGAGCGGTGAGACGTTACCCTATGAGACTCTTTTTATTCTCAAGGCACTTTTACAAGGATTTGAGGAAGAAAACTGCCG